TATTTCACTATCAGTTAATCATGATGCCAAATAAAAAAAAATTCTGTAAAAGCAGCAGAAGTTTTCTCTGTTCCCATCTGCAAAATTTCTTCCTAAGAACAATCAGTTATTTTTTGTAAATTATGTTTTCAATCTTATCTCATTTACTGTAATTCATGAGGTTAAAAAAAACTGCAGTAAGAGCTAATTCAGTAATCTATCTTATCATTAGCTGTAAGAGAATAGTTATTACGCCTTCATGGAAGATGTTATAAGGAAATATTTTCAAAATTTTCCTTATTAGAGAAGGTACATAGTTCCTTACGTTTCTTTATCACAAAATACCACACTGTTTCACTGTACAACTGTTTTTAAATGACTTTCAGGTAGAACAATAAGTGTCTATACATTCTTGAAATCTATATCCTATTTATACTAAGCGGTGGATTCCTACAGTTCATTATAAATCAGCATTTACAAAATTCCATGCTTAGTTGGCATTTAAAAGCGTAGTGAAAATGCGCATACCAGAAGAGCTAATTTTAGCTAATAGAGAATTAAAGTGAAGAGACCTAGAGCTATTAACAGGATGCTGACCTTGAGTCCCATGATGTAAGCAAAGGGCTGGCAATTAAGCTAGGTTGAAGTGTGACAAAATGAGAATATATTCAATAGTTTCAGGGGAATGTATCATTGTACTTGTTTAGAGTTAATTAAAAACATAAGCCCAGGTTAGTCATGGGGTTATCTTCTCTATGCTGTTTTTCCAACTCAGTATTTAACTACACATGAAATGTATTTACTATTAAATGGATTTTTTTTGTAAATTTTTCATGTCTCCTACAATAAAGAGGTAAATAAGAGAATCAGCCCTAATTTACCAAAAGGAAGATTTTTCTTTGACCAAATTCTAAGGCCTGAATACAGCCCTTACTGTAATGAATATTGTATTCAGTGGAAAAGCTGCTGTGAGTCTTCGCAAAATTAGATTTTTCTCTTCATATATTTTTCAACTACATTAATGCAAATGACTTTTTGGGGTGCTTTTTTTACCACTTTGGTTGATTTTTCTTTAGATTATGCAGAGACACAGCTTCGTACTGAAACAATGCAAATATTATTCATTGTTTCAGGATTAGACTTATCGCACACACATGTGATCAGATTTAAAGTTTAAAAAAATAAAAACAAACACTGGAAAAAGACAATTTAAACTAGTCACCTATTGTTCTAACACTTCAGAAATTTATTCTGATGCTCAGAGGTACTGAATTTTGTCCCAGGAAGTACGCCTTGATTCAGTAGAGGGAAGGAAAACAATCTGTTGTCTCTCGGGCAGTCTTACTGATCATTACTTCATCTTGGCAGGATGGTAACAAATATCCAAAATACAGAGTTGACACAGCTTTAAATAATACTGTGACATCTGAAATCCCTCTGAAATCAATAGCAAAACAGAGCCAAGATTTTACCTCTGGTTAACTCATTATTAAAGAACTCATATGATACCTTTACCAATGTCTCAGCCTTTCCTACTGTCATGTGTCATATTTCAACACATAATTCTTCAAAGGATCAACTATGTTTTAATTATGTTCCTTTTAAAATGTAAGTATGCATGTACCATTGTCAGTTTTTAGCAGTTATCAGTAAAATACAACAGCATATTCCCTGTGGTTTTAAATTACCTTCAGCATCTCTCCAGTTCTCTCTGACTTCAAGTATCTTTCTTTTTCTGTATCTGTTCTTAAAACTAGATTTGGGCCAAAGAAAACATGTACTGATTCTAACTGAGCTTGTTTCAAGAGTCAAGTTTCCAGCTAGATCATGATAATATAATTATATTTGGGAAAAAGGAAAACCACAATTCTATTTGAACTAGATTTTGTTCAGTTCTGCACTGGAGGTTGAAAACAAGACATGATAAGGTTTGGAGCTAGAGATGTAAAGGCAGTTCAGTTCAAAAGTTTCAAATCTGATTCCTCCTGCTAGCATTCAACACAATTTATTTCAGCATAATAGAAGCAGATTTTAGGTAACTTAAGTGTTTGGCAACAGGCAGCTTTAAACATCCACCATACTTAAACTCTCCTGCCTTATTTATCTTTTTTTGGCTTGCCTGTATTTCAGTGTTCCAGCTTCTGCGTGTCTGTGTTTCTAAGTGTGAGACAATACTAATTAGGTTAAACAGCAATGATTGACTTTCAGTGAGTCTACTTTAAAGCTGCTCTCAAACTGACTCATCCTTGCCAAGTTTCTGTGTTGCTTCCACACAGCCTAGTTTTTCCCTGTATTTTCATTTTTCAGCAAAATTTTTGTTAATCACATGCTCTGCTCAAAACAAATGCTCAAGGACAAATCTTTTTGATTTGTCCTGTCGCTGCTAAACAAGCCTCACAGTCATCAGAAAAAAAGAGCCCCCTAAGATGTTTGAATCACTCAAAACTGTTAAGCTGCCGCTTTTCATGCTGCCAGTCAGAACACTGAGCTGAACAGAACACCTTACGCCACCCTCAGTCACTGCTATTTTCCTATGAACTTTTGCTATTGCAGCTACCATGCCATAGAATCCCTTTGATATATTTTGCAAACTTCATCTTAAAATATGATGGTTTTCCTCATTTATACAGACGGTTCCTGATCCAGGCTGATCTAGTGATTCTAGTTTCCAGCATATTTGTCTCCTGCTTATATCCAGTTATTCCTATCTCTCAGGTTGAATAATCTTGCATCATTCTTCTCCAGGTTTTATTTTCCTGCGGTTTACCCTGGAAAATATTCCCTGACAGCTTCATTTCACAAGGTTCATTTCTCTGAAACACTCCTGTAGTCTCTTCCTCCAAGGCAAGCTTTTTCATCTCCCCCTCTCCACTCCCCCTTCAGATTAAATCCTTAATCACCCTTAGATAAGATGAAGTCCCATGATTGCCTTATGCATTGACTGAGGCTCCTATGTTTCACACACAGATAGTAAAAGTTCAATTAAAAAAACCCAGCAACCTAGTCTTCATGCTTTCTATTTCTCTAATTAGTAACATTTCCTTCCTGTCCAGTTATTTTATGGTATTTTTGGGTTTGACATAGATTCTATCTTATGTCAAAACCTTTAGGCAGCAAGATTTTTGCAACTGTTAAGTACTTTTCTAGTTTTTACTGATCTCACCACAGTCTCATCTAGAAAACACTGTTCCTAATAAGCTGTTACCCAAGCAGAGTTTTTCAGCTTATTGCAGTCCTAATCCTTCATCTTTCACATAAAAATTTGGCTGCGCATTTTAAAAATACCAGAAAGATGTCCCCAGAAGTAAGGTAAATTGCACCTCGCACGTCAGTTGAAATATGTCGTTCATGAACACAAAGAAAGCAACTGTAGTGACTTGAGCATGAGTGTTACGCAACTTGTCATTTAAAAGCCATTTCAACAACAGCATAATGGATATCTGAGCATCTTACAGCTGGTTTGCAGATTGGTACATCTATGAAGCCTGATCGGCGTGGCTCACACAGGCATGCAAATGTGATATGAGTTACTATGCTTGTGGTACTGGGTTGGTTATTTTGACAAATCTTTTCAAAACAGGAAGCATTCAAAGATACTTCTGTTCCTGTTTTGATGTCCTATGCACATAACATACGTTGGTTACACGTGTGTTGTATTTTCAGGTCAAAATTTTTCAGATGAAAATCTCTGCTTATTTCTTTGGCTTTTTGCCTTGAGAATGAGTATTTTCAAGCAGGATGGGAAAATAAATTCGGTATGATTACTGCCTTTGATGGCAATTATTCAAGCAAAACAGTACCGTAAAAATAACTTCTAATAATCCGAGTTCAATAAAATATTTCATAATATGTCCATTATTGCCTAGAGGAGTGGTTTCAGAATGTCTCGAACCAAGGTGATTCCATAAATAATGCTTGCACAGTGGTTTCTAAGGTATTTTCTGTCTCCTTTGTGACGTAAACTGGTTGTTATGGAGATAGTAAAATATCAACCATTCTTTGTGAGACTGTGCAAGATCAATTTTGGATTCGTTACAGCAGCTTCTTTTTTCTGCTCAGCTATAATCAGCCTTCCTTAGCAACAGAAATAGATGTATAAAAAGTATAAAATATTTTAAAACAAACGTTTGTACGATACTTTTAACTGTTTGACATACAGAAATAGACCTGTGTGCATTTGTAATAGATGCAAATTCCATCCCAAATTCCCCAAAATTCAAATAAGTCTAATGGCCTTCAACAGAAACGAGGCTACTACTGTTATGAAGGTTTAACAACTTACAAATAAACATTTTTTTTATTTCATTCCCTATTTTTTAATTTAATAATCTATACCTTACATAAGTATTTTTTGTTTCTTAAAGCAGGGTGGGCAAAGATTAACAACTTTCACCCCAAATTTAGGGAAAGTACATAAGGGACATTTGTTCAACAGTGTATTAAAACTTTCTAGAGCTTCATGAAACAGGAGGAAAAGGGTTATGTCTGGGGAGTAGTATGTAAAACTATGGTCTAAGATACTTGGCTAGGCCACCTGTAGATTATTTTTCTCCATTTTTAATCTATGCTAGCCCATGTGTCTAAGTGTGTAGGTCCCTAGTCAATGATTAAGGTTAAAGAACACATAGCTGAGTCAGGGTTTTGCAGAGTCCTATAGCAAGACAGGAATGTGGGAATTCTCCTCCCAGTCTGTATTTAGAGGCACGGACAAACACACCAAAACATACAGTATTTGATTGGAAAGTCATGAAATTTTCAAGTAGACCCTCAGTTATTTGCAGATTATCTGTACTTTTATGGAAACATTACAGAGAAGAAAATAATGAAGATTATTAGAAATACATTTTGTATATTCTAATAGTACTTTCATTTTACTGAGCAGGGGCCTAGTTGTAGAGCAAAGTAGAAACACAGCCATAGGGGAGGGAAGAAAAGATACCCTTTGCTCCTGCTATGTGGAAGTGGCAACAAAGTGTTCATTGCAATGAACGGAGACAATCCAGATAGGAACATTTGCTTACCTCAGGTGCCATCCAAAAGGGTGTTCCCACTGAGGTGTTTCTACGCAAACGTGTGCTGGTGAGCTGGGCTGAAACACCTGCAACAAAACAGATCCAAAAAACTTGTCTTCAAATTCATTCTGTCATTTCAGTCAGTTTATTTCAAGTATCTGGAAAACAAACCCCAAGCCTGGGAGTACAGCTGCAGAACAGCCAAAGAAGGTGCAGCATTTGTACTCAATTCTTTGTTTGATTAATTTCAGCTTGCTGTTTTCATTCAGAATTGCCGAGAGATTTTTTGTGAATGACTCGCAGTTTGAAGCACTTTCATTCAAACTTAAAAATTCAATTGGCACCTAAATATCACAGACTTCTTTCTGCTGTTTTCATGAGTATAAACAGAAACTATTTCAATTACAACTTGACTTTAAAACTTCTGTTTCAGAAATTTACTCTCTGAACACCGCTGGCAGGAAACTTGTTCACTAGAGTATTTGCAGAGGCTCCTGTTCAATAAAGCACTTGCTTAAATCTTTCCCTATTGAGAAAAGCACGAAAGCTTAAGCTCACACTGCAGCTTGTACTTTGGGAGTTAAGTGTATGCTTAAAACAAAGCCTGTGCTTCAGTGCTTTGCTGACTGGGGCTGGACTACTGAAGCATAGCTGAAAAAAGGAAGAAAGAACTAGAGTGAAATCAAACAACATTAACAAATCAGAATGAACTTTCACAGCAAATCTTCTGTGCTCTGGTCGACGTATAATTGAATTATAGAGTTCAGGAGCGCTCCACTAAGTTGACACAAAACCAATATTGACTTAAAAACATATTTCACCTTAACATTGTTTAAAAACAAAAAACACAGTGGTCTGCTCCTATGGCATTACCCAGAGACAAAAACAGGCAGAAACACATAGAATACACATTGCCTGATGCCAATAATTAAGAAATTGGGACTCATAATTCGTAAGTTAAATAATTTGATTGCTGGCTCCAAGATTCAATTCTGTATTTATTTTTCATTTTTCAGTGTGATTGCAAGCCTTCAGTGATTTCCTGAGTACCGCTGTGAAACAGTTAATGGCTAGGACCTACAGCAAGCCTCTGTGCATTTAACTCTGATCCCTCTTCAGCTAGCTTAATTTGTAGCTGCTATCTATGGACACTCCAAAACAGTGCAGAATACCAAAGAGCTGAGAGAGGGAGACAGCGGGAGAGAGTGAGCGAGCATGAGCATAAATGAATGATAAGTTGGAGACATTTTGGGTCGACTTACACTGTGACCAACATTTATTCAAATATATCATGCTGTCGAGAGCAGTTGAGGGAAGAAATGCTTTTTCAATGTAACACACAAGTTGTGAAGTCATGCAATAAAGACAAAATAAAAAGCTTCAATTAAGGATACCTGTGTAATCCTCCCTGTGACCTAATATCCCTATGTACAGCATTGAATATGAAGTAAATTTTTTTTTTCTTCAAGATTCTGTCTCATTCTGTGGACATAGCATTCACTGAATAGGTAGTAATTTTTTTTTAACCCCATCGATTTGAGTTCTAGTTACTTATTTAGTATATCCAATCCTATACTAAATTTAACATTATTATTATTTTCTTTTCCTTTTGACATGTTTCCTTCCCTCCTTATCAAACAATAAATCTCCTTAACATTCCCGCAAAATGGGAGAGGATTATTAGTTCCAGGGATTAACCTAAAAATATCCAAAGCATCCACTGTTTTTGGGTACTTAATCTGAGATCTTTCAGTTTTCAGGCACTCCACGTGCCTCAAGTAGAGCTGTAATAGATCTCAGCTGCAGTTCAAGAACACTTAGCTCTTCTGCAAAGGAGGACAAGATGTTTCAAACTGGCTACCAGGAAAATGAGGAACAGAGTGGCCACTTCTAAAAAGTTTGATTCACGTGACCTGCCAACATCACAGAGAAACACTGGCAGAAGCAAGAGTAGCCTCCAATTTGATGTCATTCAACTGTCTGAACTGCAAGTCCCTTCTCTTCCTGAACTCCTTGCATTTTTCACTGTGTATCTTCCACTTTCTGCAACAAATGAGACCAACAGTTCTACAAACAATATCACCTGTGACTCACTCCTAACTCATTCCCAGAGTCCCTTTTGTGACTACGGCAGTGGGCTAGAGGGGAAAAAGAGCAACTTAACAAAAGCTTGGTGCCTGATGCTTCTTTAGTCAGGAAGCCCACAGATATGTGGGCATAGGGAGGACGAGGGAGGGACCGGGGGAGGGCCCAGACGACTGGAGGCTTGCCAATGTGACGCCCATCTACAAGAAGGGCCAGAAGGAGGATCCAGGGAACTACAGGCATGTCAGCCTGACCTTGGTCCCGGGGAAGATTATGGAGCGGTTCATCTTGAGGGCACTCACAAGGCATGTGCAGGACAACCAGGGGATCAGGCCCAGCCAGCACGGATTCATGAGAGGCAGGTCCTGCTTGACCAACCTGATCTCCTTCTATGACCAGGTGACCCGCCTAATGGATGAGGGAAAGGCTGTGGATGTGGTCTACCTGGACTTCAGCAAGGCCTTTGACACCATCTCCCACAGCATTCTCCTAGAGAAGCTGACGGCTCA